AACGTAACAACCTTATGAGGTTGGTTGAGCTGGGAGATTATTGGCCTAGAGTCATTTATGTTTTCCACGATTAAGTGGGAAGTTAAATCTACATCTAAAACTTTTCTTACTACAGTATACGTCAAGAGAGTTCTATAGAACTTCTAATCAGATCACAATTCTAATACTAAAGGATAGCATGCTTATCTCCTCTTCTGTTTTCCAGAAAGAAGGTGCCAGGGTGCCAACTGTGTTTCTTGTTATATCACATAATACTTTTCTGTTAGTAGATTTGCAGCAAATAACTGGTTCTTATACTTTATATTGAATAATACAAGATAAATGTAAAGTTCTGCTCAGCTGAAAAGTAAAATGTTACTTATCAAATATGTGGAATGATATACTTGAATGATATAATCATAGATTTCTAATCTATGATTAGAAATTTAGAAAAACTTAATGAAAAAATTGTTAAAGGGTTGCTCAGTAGAAGTTAATCTTGCTGTTTCAAAAAGTCACCAAGTAATCCAAATACACGCAAGCTGTTTCTTTTTTTCCCCACTTTCTCTTCCTGGGGTTACTATTTAGTTGCAAAAGTCCAGTTAAAATGTATTTTTTAGAAGTCTTATTGAGATTTTACTTTAGATTCTTTTGAAGTCCAGGCAGTCTCCTCCCTCCAGATCCTGCCCTTATTCTTTTCCTCTCCCTTCCTGCTTATTAAAAAAAAATAATAGTGTCCAGAAATCTTTATTGTCCCTTTGGCATTTAATTATATTTCCAGCTTAATTGCCTATTGATTCCAAAGCAGATTTTTCCAATTTCTTATTCAGATCTCTTAGTTGTCAATGTAAGGAAGGAGAGAGAAGAAAAAAAAAACTTTCCCTTTTCACTTTCTTTTGCTGCTTCCGACTCTTCTTTGGGAATGATGTTATCTTTTATAAAATTTAAATTCCAGGGTACCTTAGTTGTTGCTTTTTTACCCGGTCAGCCAAAACTTTCACTTCTTATCTTCCTTCTGCACTTTCTTTTCTGGTTGAGTGCTTCTTTGAGGTGGCCATTTCTGACCACCGCTCCTACTGCCTTCGGGAAAGGGAGTTTGGCCACCTGAGGAGGAAAGATGCGGCTCTCCTTGACCCTGCTGGTGATCTCTCCCCTCTTCACCACCTCTACGGGGTGGCTTAGCCCTGAAGCCAGCCGGCTCGGGGCGCTCCAGCAGCGAGCCCAGGCAGAAACTGCACACGATCACAGATTCCTGCCTGCTGCCGAAGCCCTTCAAACCAGAAGTTCCTAAAATATATTAACTTTTAAGAGTTGTTACATTTACTTATTTAAAAGCTTTATAAGCCATCTTTTAATACTGTCTTTTTAAAAAGTAACATAGAAAAATATACAAATTATAAAAACTCTGTGATATCTACAGAAGATCCACAATGAAATATTAAGATTAATGCAATGATAAAGAGACCCAATAGAATTCTGTTTTAAATATTGACCAAGTTAATTGGTCAATAATATACCGTAGCAGGCTTTACAGGTAGTCCTTGAATTACGACAGTTCACAAAGTAGTGGTTCCAAGTTACGTACTCCCCCCCCCCCCCAAATACTATCCAGGCCCAAAGTTATGAATATTGCAGTACCACAGCAGTTGTTCATGCTCACAACCAACCGCAGAGATCTTGCAGCATGCCCCATGCCTATTCCCCCCACAGGATCCACACAGGCACTCTTCTCCATTTGCAATTTTTCCAGTTGGCTTCTGACAAAATCAATGGGGGAAATCGGATTCACTTAATGATCTTATGATTCATTGAACACCATGGCAATAAAGATAATAAAATTAGGTGTGTCTCACTTAACAATCACCTTGCTAGCAATAGTTCCAAACCAAGTTGTGGTTTTAGGCACAGGTTGTAGACAAGGGCTATCTGTGCAATTAAAAAAAATATATTTTTAAGGATTTGAGGAAGATTCTAATCAAAGAATTAAATAAAATAACGTATCAGATGTTATCATGTTACTAGATTGAATTAGCTGATATTTGTACAAAGTTTGTTGGTAACATAGTGAACACTAATCCTTCAAAAGGGGGTTATCCAGCAAATAGGATCTTATAATATCAGTGATATAATGCTAAACACTGCTTTCGTTTGTGTGCGTCGGAGTTGGTTTGACTCTTTTTAGCACAGTAGAAGATAATAACATTGAGAGATGTGGTGGCTGAGTGATAAAGATGCTCACCTCTATCCCGGAAAGTTAAAAATTTAATCCTAGGTAGCAGCAGTTATTTTTTCTCCTAGGATGCAAAGAAAAAATATCTGCTGCGAACTCCACATTGCATCAGGAAGGGCATCCAGTCAGTGTTTACTGATGCAACTCCACTCAGCTCCATTTAGTTGGCCCGACTGTACCCGAATTAAGGATTTACAGGATCATAAAAAGGGTGAATATAATATAACTGCTTACTTTTACACAATAATTACAGGATACTAACCACTCCTATAACAACAAACTTATCTAACCTGTCCTCAGGTGCTTTGGAGAATAACTTGACCCCCTCTTCTTTATGGCAGCACCTGAGATATTGGAACTGCTTTCACTGCTAGCCCTTCTTTTCATGTCTAGCTTGATAAATATGGATTGAATTTTATTTCTAAATGCTATAAAAACTATAATGGTAGAGTAAAACATAAATGAGACTAAATCAAATTCTTAGTGAATGATTCAGCAATTAGCACTAACACAAGAATATATGATATCCCATAGTTGTTTAAAACCTTCAAGAATAAATAAATAAATAAATAAATATTGCGGTGACTTTAGAGGTATGTTTTTGCAAGGTGTACATCTGAATTTTATAAGCAGACAATCCTATCTTGGTGCCTGAAAACTTAAATGATATACATAAAATATTAAACTGTTTATATCATGCAGTTGGGACAATGATTCCATAAAAGGAAAATGGATGAAAAGAATTTAAAGCATGTAAATATTGACCGCCACATTGTGTTTGCATGTATATGCCTGCTTTGAGGAATACAGGTGAAACTCGAAAAATTAGAATATCGTGCAAAAGTTCATTTATTTCAATAATGCAACTTAAAAGGTTAACCTAATACATGAGATAGACTCATTACATGTAAAGCAAGCTAGTTCAAGCTGTGATGTGTCATAATTGAGATGATTATGGCTTACAGCTCATGAAAACCCCAAATCCACAATCTCAGAAAATTAGAATATTGTGAAAAGGTTCAATATTCTAGGCTCAAAGTATCCCACTCTAATCAACTAATTAAGCCATAACGCCAGCAAAGGGTTCCAGAGCCTTTAAATGGTCTCTCAGTCTGGTTCAGTAGGAATCACAATCATGGGAAAGACTGCTGAGCTGACAGTTGTGCAGAAAACCATCTTGACACCCTCCAGAAGGAGGGAAAGCCTCAAAAGGTTAATTGCAAAAGAAGTTGGATGTTCCCAAAGTGCTGTATCAAAGCACATTAATAGAAAGTTATGTGGAAGGGAAAAGTGTGGAAAAACAGGTGTATAAGCAGCACAGATGACCGCAGCCTGGAGAGGATTGTCAGGAACCAGCCATTCAAAAGTGTTGGGGACTTTAACAAGCAGTGGACTGAGGCTGGAGTCAGTGCATCAAGAGCCACCACACACAGATGGATCTTGGACATGGGCTTCAAATGTTGTATTCCTCTTGTCAAGCCGCTCCTGAACAACAAACAACATCAGAAGCGTCTTACTTGGGCTAAAGGAAAACAGAACTGGCCTGTCGCTCAGTGGTCCAAAGTCCTCTTTTCTGATGAGAGCAACTTTTGCATCTCATTTGGAAACCAAGGACCCAGAGTCTGGAGGAAGAATGGAGAGGCACAAACTGCAAGATGCTTTAAGTCCAGTGTGAAGTTTCCACAGTCTGTGTTGATTTGGGGAGCCCTGTCATCTGCTGGTTGTTGGTCCTGTGCTTCATTACCAGGGTCAGCTCAGCAGTCTACCAGGAGATTTTGGAGCACTTCATACTTCCTTCAGCAGACGAGCTTTATGGGGATGCTGACTTCATTTTCCAGCAGGACTTGGCACCTGCCCACACTGCCAAAATCACCAATACCCGGTTCAATGACCGTGGGATTACTGTGCTTCATTGGCCAGCAAACTCACCTGACCTGAACCCCATAGAGAATCTATGGGGCATTGCCAAGAGAACGATGAGAGACATGAGACTGAACAATGCAGAAGAGCTGAAGGCTGCTATTGAAGCATCCTGGTCTTCCATAACACCTCAGCAGTGCCACAGACTGATAGCTTCCATGCCACACTGCATTGAGGCAGTAATTGCTGCAAAAGGGGCCAAACCAAGTACTGAGTACATATGCATGCCTATACTTTTCAGAGATCCAATATTTTTCTATGTACAATCCTTGTTTTATTGATTGCATGTAATATTCTGATTTTCTGAGATTGTGGATTTGGGGTTTTCATGAACTGTTTCATAACCATCACAATTATGACAAATCACGACTTGAACTATCTTGCTTTGCATGTAATGAGTCTATCTCAAATATTCGTTTCACCTTTTAATTGCATTACTGAAATAAGTGAACTTTTGCATGATATTCTAATTTTTCGAGTTTTACCTGTAAATGTTTGCTGAAAGAAATATTACGTGGATTGCAGATGTCAGGAGACACATGAAAGTAAGTTGAATGCTATAGGAATTGGTAATTTAAGGAGTATGTGTGGAAGAAGAGGGCAATAAAAAGCAATACTTTACAAATATTTAATCAAAAATTTAAAAAAGCAAATAGCAAATGTATGAAGTATATAGATTCTTACGATAGAAATTGTGGATATGATATAATTAAGAATGGTTTGCAAGGATGTATAGAGAAAGATATTACAGAAGGACTAAATTGGATTTAGTTATATTTCCTTTTATTTATCTTTTAAGTTCATGTCCTAGTTTTGGCTAACTTTTGTTTATTCCTTTTCTAGACTTTGCATAATTTATGTATATTTATAGGGTGCTGTGTTAACGCCAGCAATGGATCATACAATATCCATGCAGCCAACAAGTATGATGGGCCCCTTGACACAACAGATGAGTCATCTTTCCTTGGGCACTACAGGAACAGTAAGTTTAGAGAACGTGGTTAAATTTCACTTTTTAAATAGTGCTCTTTCACTCTATAGCCGGGGTCTCAAACTCAATTTACCTGGGGGCCACTGGAGGCAGAGTCTGGGTGAGGCTGGGCCGCATAAGGGATTCCACAAAAAATGTTGTTAAAAAAATATCCTCAAATGTCATCAACAGTTAACGATTTCTCCAATACATGAACTGTCCTGAACACATGAATGGAACATTGAATGAAGATCATGAACAGTTCCTCAGAACATGGCTTCTCCAGCTTACTCCTTGCTGCCAGAGACTTGACAATGCTTCCTCTCACATATCTGAGCCACATCTGGCTTGAGAGAGGAGGCACTTGAGACCCTCAGTATGGCTTGAAGATGATCATCAGTAAATCTGGACCTGTACTTGGACTTGTTAAAGTTCAGGATGGAGAAGAAGCCACAACAAGGAATGGCAGGCGGGACTTCCTTCAGAGGTCCATTCCCCCTGTAGGCTGCACTAATATTATACTTTCATATCATGGTGGGGGCCACCGGATATCGTCCTGCGGGCTGCAATTGGCCCAAGGGCCGCGAGTTTGAGACCCCTGCTCTATAGACTCCAGCAGCCTTTCACAATTCTGCATAGACCTAGGGTAGTGTTGGCAAACCTTTTCAGCACTGAGTGCCAAAATGGGAGCACGCGCAGGGGGAGCACTAGAAACTGGAAGAGCAACTCCGTGGTATATGCATGCGGGACTACTGGAAACTGGAAGAACAGCTCTGCGGTGTGCTTCCAATTTCTGGAGTGCACATGTGTGTCGGCCACCTAGTCTTCTGGGTTCCGACACATGAATGCACGTGCAAAGACCAGCTGACCAGTACACATTTGTGTGCCGGAAACTGAAGCTCAGCTTCCCAGCACAAAGATGGGTGCCGGGGAGCTGCTCTTCCAGTTTCTGGTGCTCTCATACATGCAAAGACCAGTTGGCTGGCACACATGCGCGTGCCAGATCCCAGAAGAACAATGACCAACAGCCATGCCCAGAGAGATGACTTTGTGTGCCACTTCTGGTATGTGTGCCATAGGTTCACCATCACAGAGTTCAAAGGGGTTGCTAGGAATTCTCTGTCTTAAAAAATAAAAAATAAACATTTTTTAAATTTTATGCGGAAAGCAATGCTAGCACTTACAATGTGGGAATTTTGATAAAACTTTCACTGTGCTGTTTGTAAATACTGTAAAATGTGTGGAATGTGTAGTTAAAAATGAATTGTACTGTGCAGTTTTCATGTTTTGTGAGATTTTTATGCAACAGATTCATGAAGATTGAAAATTATTTCAAAGATTATTTCACATCAAAAAGGTTGAGAAAAGCTACTCTAGATAGTTCTCTATTCTTCAGTGTATGTCCATTTCTGTCTATTATTTGAGCATTATTAGCTAATAAAATTGTAATTTGTCATTTAATCACTTTCAATTTATTTAACATTAAATATTGATAACAAAATGCAGAGATAGTAAAAGTGATCTCAGTGCACAGCTGAAGATGTACTATATAAGAGTATCATAGTTTATTCAACACAGTAATAGTAGCATTTTTCTTTGAATCATGCTGTTTCAGGCTATTTTGTGCTGTTTTCCTACTCCAAATTACCCTAGTTGCCATTGTGCTCCATTTAAAACTTGCAGATATCCTCGTAATTTTTGAACAGTTTTCATTATTTCATTATTGAAAGTAATGTCATATTCATTCTGTCTGTAATAATAGAATTTGTAATGTATAGAAATAATATAGTACAATTGAAATTCCTAACTGCAAAAGTCCTTATTCATATTATCTTTACTTTTGCTACAATTTTTAATTCCAAATTTGAGATCAGACTTCAAAATAAGGACATAGTAAGGCAGTTTGTGGAAGCTCTTATAGTGACTGTTTTGGAAAAAGTAAATATCAAAGGTTTTCTAGGCAATCTCAGAATGCCTCAAGAAATATAGTGTTTCTAACACGTTACAATTGTGAATTAATGAGGTACTTATAATCTGTTTTATATGTAATTTCCACCTTTATAATCAACCTGTCTCTATCTTGCATCAGTTTAAAACCTGAATCAGTATGCCTCCCAGTATCAGATGAAGTGAATTGCTGCATATGAAAGCTTACACTTTTAAGCGAACTTTGTTTATCCAAAAAGTTACTAGCTCCAGAGGCTAACATGGCTCTTCTCTTACTATGCCATGTATGAAATATTTGCCTCATCATCCATATACAATATGTACAAACATCTAATTTGCATTTTTTTCAGAAATTATGTGTGTCATGGCATACTGAACTCCAAGAGTGTGCAGTTGGTTAGTGTGAATTTTAATGATGACATTAAATTCTTGTTCTAGAGTGTTTGTGTCTATTGTAGAAGACTAAATTGATTATGATATGTGAGGGAAATATTAAATTGGTTAAAATATTATTAGTAACTAGTAAAATTAGATTTTCTTTAACTTTTTTTTCTGTCAGCAAATATGAGCAACAGATCTGTCCAGTGATCATTTACTCTCTTTTTTCCTGTCTTTTTACATGACTAATTTATAGATTTGCAAGATAATAAATTAGCAACTAAGTATTTAGATTGATATATGCTGGAAGCCAGAGTTGATTAATGAGAAAGTTTGCTATTTCTTAGAAACTGCTAAACCATAGAATGGTGTTCATTGACAATGCTACATTTGTATCAGTTGTTTGACTTTACCAGAAAAGAATGGCAGGAACTTAATGTTTGTGTTAATTTCCTGTGGAGCAAATTGTATCACTGATTGAGGAACTTTAAAACAAAGAAATCCACAGGCATCATCATCATCTGATTGGATTACCCTTACATATTGTGACCACCTTTTAACTTAATTTTTAAGTTAGGGACACATTTTTGTTTATAAGCATGCTCATGTAATGTAATTATGAACCTTAGATTATCTACAGAGCAAAAGCATTTTCATGTTCATTATCACCTTTGATAAATGGACAAAGCTTTTCATGCCAATATTGAGTACTGCCTAAAATAATGCCCCAATATAGGAGCTTTACTTATTTATTTAGTCAGTCAGTCAGGTTTTTTTTTGAGGCTGCCCAAATACATGATAAATCTGATCAACCTATAACTAAAAAATTTAAAAGGGAACAAAATACAAATCAAGAAAAAGAAAATCACTGACAAAAAAGCAGGACCAAAAAGACTAAGTAGCAGAAACAAAGCTTTCTAACTCTTGTGACAACAACCAATTCTATAGCAGATGTGGTATTCAGCCGGTTCACACCTAATCGGGAGAACCAGTAGCGATAATTTGGCATGGGTTGCCGAAAGGTAGCGACTTCTGGCTGGCCACACCCCTGAACCACAATTTGATGTGGCTGTGCCTTTTTTCATTCCCTCCCCCCCCCCACCCCCCAGAAGGAGGACGCGGGCAACAGAGGCTGGAGCAGCAGCGCCGCTTGTTTTTTCCTCCTCCCAGGAGACGCACCGGTTCCAGCCTGGCCTGGCCAGCAGGTGGGCGGGCAGCCAGCCCTTGAGGGGCATCTCTACTGCGCTGGGGCTGAGAGGGGTGGCAGAGGTGCCCCATGCAGCAGCCCCAGTACTTCTGCCTGCCCCACCATCCCAGAATACCACCGCTGTGGACAATCATTTATTTCATTTCGTCCACCTGTGTCCTCCTTCTCCCCGGGGGAAAGAAAGAAAAGTATGGGTACAGCATGCTCAAGCCTCCATTCTGCGGAGATGAAACTGCCGTCCTTTTTCCAGAGCAGCCCCATCCATGAAAGAGACTCCTCCGAGGGATTCAGCAGCCCTCCCCCCCAGGATTTGGAGACTGGGCTCCTTTGCAACTGGATGGCATTATGAAAAGAACGTGGATTTTTTTGTACGTTAATTGTGGGGAATTGAGATATTTTGGGGAGCAGTTGATTGGCACAGAGCATGAGGTCGAAGGGTCGATGCAGGTGAAGGCTTTGCCTGTGTTTTTTTTCACGTCTACTCTTTTAAAACTCGTATATTCTCAGCAGTCATCCAGCCAGTGAGCTACCAGGCTCTGGACAAAATGCAGATTATTTTGTTGTTCAAATGGTTTGTGCTCCAGTTCCTCCCCAACGAGTGGCAAAGGTGTGGGCCAGCACGGGGCAAGGACTTCAAGGGAGGAGGAGGAGGCAGTCTGTTGCTGGTCGTGGGTGGTGCAGCTGTCCCATTGGGGCAAGGTGAGGGGCAAGCAGGGAGGCGCAGCTGCAGGATGAGCATTGGGAGCTGCCTGAGGAGCTGCAAGGGGTGCAGGAGGAGGTGCAGTGTTTATTGCTAAGGGCAGTGTTTGGATATGAGTGTGAGCTGTGGAGCGAACAGCAGCAGTGCCCCAAAAGGGAGGGTGGCAACTCCCAGGGTAGTCCCACCGCCCTCCGCTCACCGGAGTACCTCCACAAGCTTTCTTCATTCTCCTGCTGATCTGGAGCTTGCTAAATCAGTTTGTTCCAGACCAGTATCATGAGAGAGAGTAGAGTGTGTGTGTTTGTTTCAGGTGGGCACTTGGAAGTGTGTGTGTGTGTGTTTGTTTGTTTCAGGTGGGTCTCAGCTTTAGAAGGAGAGAGGGAAGCGAAGGGATAGAAAGAGAGGGAAAGAGAGAGAGGGAAACAGAAAGAGAGAGGGGAAAAGAGAGGGAAAGAGAGAGAGAAAGAGAGGGAAAGAGAGAGGGAAATATTCTAGTTAAAGGGTCTTCAAATCTGGCAAGTTTAAGACTTGTCGACTTCAACTCCCAGAATTCCTCAGCTAACATGACTGGATGAAGAATTCTGGGAGTTGAAGTCCACAAGTCTTAAAGCTGTCAAGTTTGAAGACCCCTGTTCTAGTCCAACCCTCTGCCTCAGCAGGAGATCCTTACAGAATCATAGAATATCAAAGTTAGAAGGAACCTTGGAGGCCATCTAATCCAACCCCCTGCTCCAGCAGACATTATATCACCTGGAATCTGGATTATTTTGGTGCCTCTAA